CACTGCAGGCTTCTTGTGCAAGAACTGTTTTGCGCAAGAGTTCTTGCTCAAGAGTGTGTCCACACTGCCACGTGCTTTTGCGCAAGAATGTGCTTTTGTGCAAGTGTGTCCATGGCAGTGTGGACGCTGTCTTGCACAAGAAAGCTCTGATGGCCATTTTAGCCATAGGGGTTTTTTGCACAAGAAACCCCTGTTGCCTCTCCACACTGCCTTCTTGCACAAGAGCTCTTGTGCAAGGGGCTTATTCCTTGTGGGGAGAGGAATAACTCTTGCGCAAGAAGCCCTCTCTACTGTAAATTTACTTGCACAAAAACATGCGTGCAGTGTAAACGCTCCTCAAGTTTTTGTGCAAGAACAGACGTTCTTGTGCAAAAAGCCTGCAGTGTAGACATAACCAAAAGGTAATAACAAAATGTTTTTTTAAGTACATCAGAAGCAGGAAGCCTGTTAAACAACCAGTGGGGCCCCTGGACGATGGAGATACAAAAGGAGCACTTAAAAGATGATAGTCATTGCGGAGAAACTAAATGAATTCTTTGCTTCAGTCTTCATTACTGAAGATGTTAGGGAGATTCTCAAGCCTGACCCGTCCTTTGTAGGTGACAAATCTGAGGACTTTTCACAGATTGAAGTGTCATTAGAGGAGATTTTGGAATTAATTGATAAACTTAACAGCAACAAGTCACCGGGACTAAATGGCATTCACCCAAGAGTTCTGAAAGAACTCAAATGTGAAATTGCAGCACTATTGACCATAGTTTGTAACCTATCCTTTACATCAGCTTCTGTACCCAAAGACTGGAAGATAGCTAATGTAACGCCAATATTTAAAAAGGATTGTAGAGGCGATGCTGGCAATTACAGACAGATAAGTCTAACGTCGGTACCGGGCAAATTAGTTGAAACGATAGTAAAGAATAAAATTGTCAGACACATAGAAGAACATAATTTGTTGGGCAAAAGTCAACATGGTTTCTGTAAAGGGAAATCATATCTTACTAATCTATTAGAGTTCTTCAAAGGGGTTAACAAAAATGTGGACAAGGAAGATCTAGTAGATATAGTATACTGTACTTAGATTTCCAGAAGGCCTTTGACAAGGTCGCTCACTAAAGGCTCTTACATAAATTAAGTTGTCATGGGATAAGAGGGAAGATCCTTTCATGGACTGAGAACTGGTTAAAAGACAGGAAACAAAGGGTAGGAATAAATGGTAAATTTTCAGAATGGTCAGGGGTAACAAGTGGTGTTCCCCAAGGGTCAGTCCTAGGACCAATCCTACTCAACTTATTCATAAATGATCTGGAGAAATGGGTAAACAGTGGGGCTACATCTACATTGGCCCCTTTTCCGGAAGGGGCATGTTAATTTCACAAGTTGTAATAGGGAAATCCGCGGGGGATTTATATATCCCCCGCGGCATTTAAATAAAAATGTCCGCCGCTTTTTTCCGGCTTTTAGAAAAGCCGGAAAAGAGCGTCTACACTGGCCCCGATCCTCCGGAAAAAAAGCCCTTTTCCGGAGGATCTTATTCCTACTTTTTAGAAAAGCCGGAAAAGAGCGTCTACACTGGCCCCGATCCTCCGGAAGAAAAGCCCTTTTCCGGAGGATCTTATTCCTACTTCAAAGTAGGAATAAGATCCTCCGGAAAAGGGCTTTTTTCCCGGAGGATCGGGGCCAGTGTAGACGCTCTTTTCCGGCTTTTCTAAAAGCCGGAAAAAAGCGGCGGACATTTTTATTTAAATGCCGCGGGGGATATTTAAATCCCCCGCGGATTTCCCTATTACGACTTGTGAAATTAACATGCCCCTTCCGGAAAAGGGGCCAATGTAGACGTAGCCTGGTGGTGGAGGCAAAGTTTGCAGATGATACTAAACTGCTCAAGGTAGTTAAGACCAAAGCAGACTTCAAAAAGATCTCACCAAACTAAGTGATTGGGCACCAAAATGGCAAATGAACTTTAATTTGGATAAATGTAAAGTAACACACATTGGAAAAAATAATCCCATCTATACATATAATATATAGGGGGCTAATTTAGCTACAATTAATCAGGAAAGAGATCTTGGAGTCATCGTGGATAGTTCTCTGAAGATGTCCATGCAGAGTGCAGCGGCAGTCAAAAAAGCAAACAGGATGTTAGGAATTATTAAAAAAGGGATAGAGAATAAGATGGAGAATATCTTATTGCCCTTATATAAATCCATGGTACACCCACAACCTGAATACTGCGTACAGATGTGGTCTCCTCGTCTCAAAGATATACTGGCATTAGAAAAGGTTCAGAGAAGGGCAACTAAAATGATTAGGGGTTTGGAACGGGTCCCATATGAGGAGAGATTAAAGAGACTAGGACTTTTCATCTTGGAAAAGAGGAGACTAAGGGGGGGATGTGATAGAGGTATATAAAATCATGAGTGATGTGGAGAAAGTGAATAAGGAAAAGCTATTTACTTGTTCCCATAATATAAGAACTAGAGGCACCAAATGAAACTAATGGGCAATAGGTTTAAAACAAATAAAAGCAAGTTCTTCACACAGCACATAGTCAATCTGTGGAACTCCTTGCCTGAGGAGGTTGTGAAGGCTAGGACTATAACAGGGTTTAAAAGAGAACAAGATAAATTCATGGAGGTTAAATCCATTAATGGCTATTAGCCTGTATGGGTATGGAATGGTGTCCCTAGCCTTTGTTTGTCAGAGGGTGGAGATAGATGGCACGAGAGAGATTGTTTGGTCATTACCTCTTCGATTCACTCTCTCTGGGACACCTGGCATTGGCCACTGTCAGAAGACAGGGTACTGGGCTGGATGAACCTTTGGTCTGAGACAGTATGGCCATTCTTATGTTCTTACTATTACATCCCTAAAGTGTGTATGGATCTCATCCAAAGCTCATTAAAATGTATGGAAAGATTTGCATTAACTTCAATGAATGTTGGATCAGTGTCACTGTAACAGAAACTGATATGCTGATACTCTTATACTCTTACATTCCTAAGGATAACCTAAGTTTTCTTTTTAGAAGATATGATGTTTTAAATGTAACAATTTGTTCCCATCTCATGCTTTCAAAAGTATTTGTTTTATAGGGAGATGGGGTTATAGCTGTCTTGGTCCTCATCTCTGACCTCTTGTTGCCCACTCTGGTCATTCTGCAGTATAACCGTCCCTCCTACCAGATCTCTCCCTTTCCATTTTAAGAGAAACAATTGAATTACAAGCACATCCCATTATCCTGGTACAACCAAATCCTGATCTTGTTTTAAGTCGGGGTGGGGAACCTAAGGCCAGAGGGCCGGATGTGGCCTCTGGGTTGCCTGGATCTAGCCCCTGAGGCTTAGGGCCTCCCCCAGCGTTGGGGAGCCTGCACTGGCACTTAACTCCCCCCCACCCCACACACACACACACACAGCGCCTCTCTGCAGTTCAACACCCCCAACTGATTTGTCCATGGGTCAGCAGTCCCCAACCCAAAAAACGTTCTCCACCCCTGCTTTAAGTTATTATAAGAGGAAGCTGCATACCAAATTTGGTGGTCATATTTCTTTCTGTTTAGGAGGAGTTCTTGAACAGACTCACAGCCAGTCAGACATTTACTATATATTTTAGAAAGGAAAAGAGTCAAGTGCTGAGCCTAATACAGGAGGGAGGGAGGGGAGGGGTAAACAGTGTTATGCTCTTTCTGTGAAAACAGGTTCTGGGATTTTTGCAGGTATCCAGTGACCAGAGCTATATACTTTAGGGGAATTACACTGAGGGCACTTGGAGTAAGAGAGCATTTTTTGTCGACCTTCAAGGCAAAAACTGGGCATGGGCTATTAGAGGGCTTCAGGGGCTGACACTCTGGTTGTGATAAGGAACTAACACTTAGCTAGGACAATCAGGAGTCCCTCATGCTGGGAGCAGGTAGTAATAAGGTGACTTACAGTGGGTGTCCCAAGAAATGTCCGAGTACCTCCAAAACTTTCAATACTCTGGTGAAGGGGAGCTATGTAGAAAAATAAAGAGTTCAAGGTTTGGGCCCTGAAGTTGGTCCTGCACTACCAGGGCCGAATCAGTTTGGCAAGGGGAGGTCAAGGGATAAAGCCCACGGCTCAGAGTACATTGTTTCCTGGAGAAAATGCTTTGATAATCGCTTTATTCAACCTCGCATTAAGTCCAAAGGCAGAAACTGACAATCCTACCTCTGCCTGCTACAGTTTAAATT